TGCTGAACCCTGCTGTGCTGTCTTGGCTGGCTGCCACAGAGACCACACACTGGAAGCTTGTAAACACAGTCCAGAATCAAGGTCAGGCAGAGCCATAAGTCAAAGAGTCAGAAAGTTAATTCAAGGTTGCAAGGACAAGGAGCGGCTGCTACACACACACACATGAGCAGGTCTGAGTGAGCAAAGTTGCTGCTGCATTGAACCAGGTGCACTGAGTGCTTTTGAGCAGGTCCTTCCTTCCCTGGGGTTGAGTCTGCAGAGGCTTACAGCTCTTCCCTCTGCCTCTGCAGGAGCTGGAGTCTGGCACTCCTTCTTCGCTCCTGCATAGTCAGCCTCTGGCATGCCCTACATCTGGGGCATTCAGGAGAACTAGGCAAGGAATCTGGCCTTGGGGTGTGTTATGTCTTGAGAGACATAAGGTAAAGCATATCTCATTATGCGGATTGTAAACATGTAAATACTGACCATTGGTGTGCCTTCTGGAGGGAATAGTTTTGATTGGTGCTGAAAGGTAATTGTGATTGGACGTTATCTCTCGATTGTGATTGGTTCATACTTTTACAGTAGTGTCCTGAAAATGTATTTCTTGCATGGATTGGTTCATTGTCAGGTTGATGGTGGGGTGAAAATCATTGAATGCCTCGTGGAATGTGTCCAGGGCTTCTTTACCATATGTCCAGACAATAAAAATGCCATCAGTGTAATGCGGGTATAAGAGAGGTATGAGTGGGTGGGAGTTTAGGAAGTGTTGTTCCAAGTCAGCCATAAAGATGTTAGCATACTGTGGGACCATGCGGGTGCCCATGGCTGTACCATTGATCTGGAGATTGAGGAGGCCTGGCCTGCACTTCCAAGCTTAGGCCAGGAGCCAACAGTACCTCCAGTCTATAAATCTGCACCTCTAGAAGGAGTGTCCCCCAGGACAGGCTCACTCGGCAGATCTCAAGTAGCAAGTCCATCGACCAACAGGACCTCAGCCTTGCCTGGACTGAGCTTCACTTTATTGGTCCTTGTGAAATGAGTGCAATTGTGCAATAGTTTAGTGGATGCATTAGGTGGCCCCATGCTGTATGTGAGAAGCAGATTCTTACCTTTCTCCCACTTGCAAGTACACTGGGTATAACTACAGCAGAAACCTGTGATGAACTGTACAAAGTACAGAGGACATCACTTCTTTCAAAATGTTACTGAGCTTTCCAGAGCTGCAGTTTACAACTGATTTGATCTAGATGATATAAATATTAATGGAAACTAATTGTTTTGTAGTACAAACAAATAACAGATGCCAACAGAATACTCACTATGGTTCCAAATTGTCCCTTTATTTTGCGGGGTAAAGAAGGGGGCGGGACTTCACCACGTGACCGCCCCGCCCCCTAGAGGTTCTCTTCCGGAGCTCCGTACCTGAGAGCTCCCCCCCGACTAGAGCCCTGATCTAGATGATATAAATATTAATGGAAACTAATTGTTTTGTAGTACAAACAAATAACAGATGCCAACAGAATACTCACTATGGTTCCAAATTGTCCCTTTATTTTATTTTTTTTACTACTAGGTAATAATAGTAATGTGGAGGCATCTGGGTCTGTTGCAGCCTGATCTTTCAGTCTCATTGGAGTGGCACAAGATGAACACTGATCTGAGGAGGCTTACAGCTTAGGGGGAATGTGTGTACTTGTAGCTTTGTCCCTTTCCATTTCTGAAGCTCTCAGCTAGTCAAATTAATGTGACTCCACTGACAGAAATGAGAAAGGAAAATCTTCTGTAAAACTATATTCTTCATTGTTTGTCATCTATAAACTGCTTTGAGTTTCCAATTTTTGACAAAAACAGTAAACTTTTAAAAATATAGATATATACATACATATAGAAACAAAAGAACTTCATCCTCTCCACACAGTAAAAGAGAACTTCATTGTCTCCCACTAACTAGCTAAGTAAACCCAAAACCATTTGTGTGGATACGAAATGCCATAAAAAGGTACAAGACATTGAGTGCAGTCAAACAAGGTACAAATCAACATGGAAAAGGCATGGACAATGGCAGATACAAATGTGTAAATGCATCAAGTCCTCTTACAGAGGAAAAAATATAACCTGGGAAAGGAATGCCCAACATGGAGAAAATAAAAAGGGCCCAACCCTAACCATCAATTTTATACATGAAAGCCTGGCCCGCAAGCAGAAATCCTCTGATGTGAAGGCACCATTTAGAGGGGGACCTTCCGACACAGAGGAGAGCACAGGATTCTAAGTTCACAAGTTGATCAGAAACTAATTCATAAAGCTTTCACAGATGGTCTTGTGAAGTTCTTCATTGACAGTGACCCTCAGAACAGGAACAAGAAGGGGAAAATATGGTACAGAATGGTAAACAGCAACAACACACATGTTTAAGTTGACTCTATCAACCTGCTGCCCTGGTATACAAAAAAAGAATCCACTAAAGCGATGTTTTACAACTACAGGTAGGAGAAGAAACAGAGAGGCGTACTGTGCTAGACTGGTGACTGAGGTAGAGGGGCAAGTATGCACAGAAATTGACAGATATCTCCAAATTTCACAATCAGAATAAATAATGTAAATGAGATATATCTGCATAAATTAAGTTTGGACTATTTCTCCTGGCTGACTGCAAAATTTAGATGTTGCTACCAAGGATCAGGACATACTAATTCTTGGAAACAGAGCAGAGGTTGGTGGGGACTGGCTGGGATAATTAGATAGGTAAGTTCCCACTTAACTAGAGTGGCATCAGATTTTTCATTTCATCAGAAGGTCTTTTCTTAGTAATCATATGGGTTAGGGGTTGATTTATTTGCTTGAATATAATGATGATTCATTAAATTCTATAATGACAAGATACTATACTTTGCTGTGAGAACATGGGTGATACGTTATTATGATCCTCTAAGGCTGATAGCCAAGGAAGTGGAAATGTAGTGGTTTTTATGATGAAATTGTTTTCAGGCCATGGCTAACAGCTTGTCTGAATACCAGGGAACCAATATGAACCAACATTTTACCTTTATTGAATCTAAGCACATAAACGGGAGAAAGGTGGTCCCCTTAGCGATCTCCTTGATGGGCCAATTTCTACATGTAGGGATGGATGTCTGTGTTTAAATCAGTTGGTACAGCCCCCTACAAGACCTCTGGATTTTTCCACATTCTGCCTAAGTTGGTAGGCATTCTCTAATTCTTTGTGTAAACTGTAAAGTAGCTCTTCTACAAGCAAGTGACCATTGTGTGATCTACTACTTTATTAAGCAATCATTTGTCCTTATTTGCTATGATACAAAGCAATTCTTCTCTCACTTTCTCCCACAATTAACAATCTGGAATAAATCTGCAGGACACAATAATGCAGTAGTTATTTTGGTGCTTAACATAAATGAAACATGTACGACTGTGCAAAAATGATATATGTATAACTGTGTACGTTCAGTGGGGCAGGATTAACCTAGTGTAGAAATGCTGCAGCTCCTCTGTTTTCATTCAATTGGTTCTGCTTTCCTCTTCTGTTACTTGAGTCAAAATGAGAGCAGAAACAAACAAAGCAGCCTATCAGGAAGAAACTCAGCTAAGACATATCTATTTTTATCTGACCTGAAATAAAGCTTATTATGGCAAACTAGTTGAATAGAGGTTGAATACTGAGTGGTAGCTGCAGCTCTCAAAGCAGGCATCCACCTGGTGGCAGAACACTTTAGTTTCTTCCCAAAAATGCATACAAAGATGTCATGATAAAACTATAGCACTATCAAGGCTGTGTCTGTGCCAAATGCAAGAACTGGATCCCCTGCTGAAATGCTTGGCACCCATCTTCATATCCAAGGAGTATTGCCATCTGTTCCTCAGGCTCTCCCACTGGGTCTTCTTCTAAGATAATGGGATGTGACTCAATAGAACAAAGGCAAAGCTGCAGAAGTGGTGAAAGATGGTATCTCTGCCTGGTGTCTCCTCAATCTGTTCCTCCTTAGTATTGGTCTGAAAAGAATGAAGCATGAAGGAGAGAGGGACTGGCTCCCTCAGTGGGTGGAGTGCAGCTGCCTTCTTCAGATTGTTCTGACAGTTCCCCATATTCACTGTTGTAAAAAGTCTGACCTCTGAGCTGGGACTGATACGATGGCCGACCCCGACCCCTCAGGTCCGAATGATCCATGGTTGACTCTGCGTTTTGATTGGATCCTTTACTGCTGTTGAGGAAAACAGAGGGGAAAGGAGTCAGTGATGAGCAAGAAGTATCCTAAACAACCTCCAAGACAAGTGCCTTAGCACCAGAAAGCTGAAGACAAGGACAAATCATTAAGCTATTCATGGGGCACAACCCAGAACCATCACAGCAAGTTGTTCCTGTCTTCACTTTAAACGGGGGAGAGAAAGAGAGAGAGAGAGAGAGAGAGAGAGAGAGAGAGAGAGAGAGAGAGAGAGAGAGAGAGAGAGTCACAAAGCAAGTTATGGGGAAGAGAGAGAGATTCACAAAGCAACTTCTGTGGGCCATCCATTTCATTGAACACAGCATTGTCTTTTGGGGTATGTATTTGGAGCTGCAAACTACACATGCTATTCCTTAACAGTCTGTTAGGGTGTCTACAGATTTCTTGTGATGACGAGAATTCCCAAGCTCCCCACTTAGTGCTGCATTTCTGTTAATCCCAGTCTTGTAGCAGCAGCCTGTATACTGTCCTCATGTAACTGTGGCAGGGCACAGAGGGGAGGACATTTATGCTCCTTCCCTTGGCTTTTACAAGGGGTGTGTGTGTGGAAAGGAATGATATTGTATAGTGTGGGAAAGAGAAAGCCCGCATTTCCCCAAGACATTTACAAATTAATAAAGAAAATCATCATGAAATGCGTGGGAGCACTGATGTGATACAGTGATAGAGGGGATAATCTTGAATTTTTCCTTTTTTCTCTTTTTTGTAGTTTTGCATTTGTGTGTGCGTGTGTGTGCCCATGCCTGGAAGTCATAGTGACCTCTGGCGACTCCTTCTGGGGCACAAAGGATGCTTAGAGAAGTGGCTTGATAGCCTGCCTCTGGCCTCCCGGCCCTGGTATTCTCTGGAGGTCTCCCATCCAAATACTGCCCTGCTTAGCTTCCGAGATCTGATGGGAATGGGCTTGCCTGGGCTATCCAGGTCAGGGTGGTCGAGGGGGGATAATCTTAATGGTATTTGCCCCTTCTTAGTTTTATTTTATACAGGTACATGAGTGCTTCTTCATGATGTAAGGTTATAGCAGACAGTGATGATGATAATAGCACGATTCTGCTAAAGTTAAGCAATTTTCAATACCCATTGACTTTCATGAAGGAAATCTAATTATGTGAATTACTCTCTCACTGAAATCAACGAGACTTCAAATGGCACTATGAGAATCAAGTAACAATTTTTGAAATAAATATAAACCAGGGCACTAGGGTGGGCAGTGGCTGATGTTCCCCATCATTAGTAATACCATAGATACTATCTAAATGATTATTTTAAACATTTTCATCCTTCCCTCCTAGCATGAGGTGTCTTCCATAAGCAAACAATAAGGTATGAATTTAGGCAATCTGATAAGACTCACATGAAAACCATTAAAGCCAGTGAAAAACAAAATAGAAACTGTCAATAAACAAAACCCACAGAAAAGAAATCAAGAGTGCTACTGGCAGAGGGCAAAAACTAAAAACAGAAAATCCACTTATGCCAACGGCAGGTGCCCAACCATTTTTCACATGGCACTTCCGACAGTCCTGCTAGCTGAGAAAAGAATCACATTATTAAAATTTCACCTTATTAAATTTGTGTATTTCTATTTGAACATTGGTAAAATGCTTTATTTCCAAAAAACCCAAAGAGGCCTGTGCATTTGTTGCTTGGTTGTCTTGAAAGGCCTTTCGTTTCCTGTCCTATTTCATCACTGTGTAAGAGGCTTCCTCTTTTTGTTTCTTTGCAGGGATTCAACTGGCTCCACTCAAAAGCCATTAAGCTCAATCAACCCTTTTTGTTATAAATGTCTTCAGGAATGCTGCCGCCAGCAGCAGGTTACAGGAGGATGGATGTGCTTGCATTTCTGTGTTCACAGCACATTTACAAGAGGCTGCAGTGAGATTTGCTGCAGACAGCACTGCAGGGTATTGTATGTTACCGTGAGAGTTCATGGATATAAGAGTTAGACAATGGATTACCTGAAGGCACCTTCTTTTCTGTGTCTATTTTCTATTCTCTCAAACTCCTCAGACGCCAAGACCATCCCACTGTCCGTCTGATTGTCCTGCAAGGAAACAGAAGCAAGAAACAGTATAAGTGCCAACCTTGCTGAGCAAGCATTCTCGGGATTTCTCATCACCCTGCTAAAAGCTGAACTTGTAAATAAAGTGCAAGAATTGCAGTGGGAGAGGGGGAACTTGAAAGGGAAAAATCAGGGGGCAGGATAGGTGCTCAGCTCGCTGCCCACTGCTTCTGCCCTCCAAATGGCTCCCGGCTATTTCTAATCTTTCCTTCTCCCCAAGATCTAAAGTTAGAAGAAAAACCATTTGAAATAAAACTACCCACTCACTCACCAATTCTCCCCTACAGTTGCCTCCTCCATCTCCTGCATTTAGAATCATAAAGTTGGAAGGTACCTCCAGGGTCATCTAGTCCAACCCTCCGCACAATGCAGAAAATTCACAACTACCTCCCCCTCCACACCCACAGTGACTGCTGTTCCATGCCCAGAAGATGACAAAAAACCTCCAGGATTGCTTCCTGACCCCAAAGTGGCAATCAGCATTTCCCTGGGCATGTAAAAAAGGGTCTCAAGAACTAAGCACTGAGGCAACCCTTCCTGCCCTCCCTCTCATGATCTGCCTAAGTTCACAGAATCTGCATTGCTGTCAGATGGTCATCTAGCCTCTGCTTGAAAACCTCAAAAGAAGGAGAGCCCACCACCTCCCAAGGAAGCCTGTTCCACTGAGCTATAACTGTCAGGAAGTTCCTCCTAATGTTTAGCCAAAAACTCTTCTGATTTAATTTCAACCCATTGGTTCTGGTCCGACCTTCTGGGTCAACAGAAAACAACTCCACACCATCCTCTATATGACAGCCCTTCAAGTACTTGAAGATGGTTATCGTATCACCTCTCAGTCCAGTTATCATATCACTCCTCTCCAGGCTAAACATACCCAGCTCCTTCAACCTTTCCTCATAGAACTTGGTCTCCAGACCCCTCACCATCTTTGTTGCTCTCCTCTGGACACATTCCAGCTTGTCTATATCCTTCTTAAATTTTGGTGCCCAAAACTGAACACAATACTCTAGGTGAGGTCTAACCAGAGCAGAGTAAAGTGGTACCATCACATCTTGTGATCTGGATGCTATTTTTTGCCATGTTGAGTACCATTTCTCTTGTAAGAGAAGACTGACATCACCTTGACTATTACAGAGTTGCTAATGTGAAGCTTTGCCATTAAGTCAAGGGAAAAATGCTTTAAGCCCTCATCAGATACAACAGTGCTCATCATACAGCCAATTTCACTTTGCAGATCTCAAGCATCCTCTATATTCATCTTCCATATGGAATGAATGAAATTTGTTTCTAGTCCTGTATCTAGAATAAACAAAATGACTGACACTTTCTCTTCCACCTATAGTTTGAGCTAGAAGCAATTCCTGATTATTTATGAAAATACTCCCTCTGGAAGGGACTGGGGGCAGCATCCATCTTTCCCAGCCGTTATCTGCACCCCATCCCTCTTCAGTCTGCTGCCCATGCAGGCAGCTCACCATAACCTTGAACCCCAATAACTGCTGCTCCTGACAACTTCTTGCAGCAGAGTCCCAGCAGTTCTACAATGACAGCCAGAAATAGTAAAACTTTGGCTTCGTCTTCTCCAAGCCATTAAATAAAAGGGGTGGGTGGGATTCAAGTTCACATTTGGAAAACCAAAGTCAACCATTAATTGATTGTTAGCCATGCCAGTCATACCCAGAGGGAAAGTGGCAGCATCACATCCCCTTTCCCTCTAAACTCAGATATTCCCTGAGGAGAGTTGTTACAACGATATCATGTTTCCCAGCACAGAAACCACAATATACTGTTTATAGGAAAATGCAGTTGGAGCATACACTTGCTTGATCATCTGGGGATGAATTTGAATGGTGGTGACAGACAAATAAAGGTTGAACTGATGTTTTTAGCTTTTTTTCCTGTGGCCCCAAAGTCTTGACCAACTCACCGGATGTGCTTTATACATGGTTTGTGTCATAGGATATTCTTCAAAGGTCTTTATTCTAGATGGACACCTTATCTGATTCCCACCAGTCAAACAGCCAGGGAAGGACACACAGTTATAGTATCTGGGAGAGGAAACAAAGTGAGTACTAAATCAGAAAAGATTCCATTGCAACATATGCTTCAAATAAGATAATATGCACTTTGTGCTCTTCCTGTAAAGAGATTTAGATAGGGAAATTATGACATTACATTTTCCAGCATAGAAGCGGCACAGTCTAAAGCAGTTGTTATCCCTCTCCTTGGGATGCAATGTTGAAAGACTAGCGAGATAACCATGCATTTGTGTATAACATTCTCCTGGTGCTTCTAAAAAGCCGCCTTGGGAGGCTAATGTTGGGAACAGAAGAGTGGGGTGGGGAAAGGGGTAATTAAAGCAGCTCAAAGAGTCAGTTTTGAGAAGGAAAATGGATGCAGTGAAGGATTTTTTTTCATTAAAATGTTTTTGGAGCATATACAACACATAATTTTATGTTAAGTCTCAGTTGGTCCGTAACCTTGCAGAATAGAGCACTTGCTGGAAAGCAGAAACATGCAGCAGAAAATAAGTCTGATAATCATTTGTTGGGAACACCAATGACTCGGTTGGGTATGAAGAACGTTTCTGCCTGTGCCACTTCCGTAGCTATTGTCATTTAAGGACTCCAGTCCACAGGCAAACACTGCAGCAATTTCCTCTGATTCTTAGTGAGTGGAGTGCCCACCTTTCCAAGCCCAGGGATAAGTCTCTATCCTCCTAATGGATTTAAACCATGCATATACCATAAGATGTTAAAAAAAAAAAAGACAGCTAGGCACCAGATCTTGCTGTCTTGCACCCATAAAACTGCAGGGGAGGAGTTCCATAGAAACAGCATGTGGAAACATTTGTGGATGAGGTGTCGCACAATGAAAGTGACTATGGCTGAAAATGATGAGTTCCTCATAATCTAATCCAATTTAAATTGGTCATTCTCAGAGACATTGTTAGAAAGCTGTCTCGCTCTCTGCTAGGCTCTCTCTTGTCATGGTTTCCAGGAATCAGCAAGGACTTACCTTGCTGCTATATTGTGACAGTGCATTCTCATATCAAATTCCTCTTCATCAGAGTTCTGCTGTATGGATGAAGCCACCTGGGAGAAGCCATCATCTTCAGAGCTCTGAGAGTCATTCAGGGGGATATAGTCTTTCCCTTCCTGATGGGGATGTAAAAAAATGTTTGTGAGGAAAATTTGTTGAAAAAAAGAAAGAAAGAAAGAAAGAAAATATAATATTTATATTTCCTCTTTTCTCCATACTGACAAAACTGACAAAACATAGTTACAGAATTTCTAGAGAGTGGATACATATGGTTATGCTAAGGAATAAATAATCATGGGGTAAGCAAGTAAATCAAACCTTTTTAGCTCAGAAAATAATACAGTGCTTTGATCTCTCCACTACCTGACAAGCAAAGAGAGAAGATATGCAAAGGATGCCCTCTACTGTTATTCAGCCCATTTAGACTGTATCTACTCCATGTATTTGAATACAGCATTGTAAGTACTATGCTGGTCCTAGACTACAAGACAGGCAACTATTTGGGCCAATTTCTGATTTCAAGCTTCAGAAAGTTCTTCCCTAAGCAGTGTTACAGAGGTACTAAGGGGAAAAAACAAAACAAAAATGGGAGCAACCTCTCTGAAGAGAGACAGAAATCTTCTATAGTTGCATAATATAGGGCTGTTTTTTTTAAGCACTGCAGAAGAATCCCACAGGGCCTGCTATGTATCTCTCATGCTCTACAGAACAAATAGTGCTTCAGGCTGATGTATCTAAATGAAGAATTCCTGTCCTCAAAGAAGACTCTTTTTTAAAAAAATGCAAGTAGTTATATATTTCAGAAGATTAGAAATAGTTTTTAAAATTTCTCAGATTCATGGCATTCCTTGTGTAGGGCTCAGCTAGAATTAAATACAGGTGCTAAATTTGACTCACCTGAGAGATACTGGACATTTATTACAGAAAAAAACATGATTACAAGACAGACAACTGATTACAAGACAATGAAATCATATTTCTCTTTACAGTGTTTGCCCTGTTAGCTGGCAAATAATGAAATTATATTTCTCTTTACAGTGTTTGCCCTGTTATCATCTCCTAACCCTTGAGGTTTCATGTTATACTCCTTTTACCTTCCAAGAAACCCATCAGTAAGAAGGCTTTGAGACTGATATACATGAAGAATGTCACACAATTTCTGAGGCCTTAGTTTTGGCTTAAAGTTTTTTCTTTAGTTCCTTTCTACTTGGGGTATAGCAAAATGCAGCCAATTCATTTTCTCTCAGGATGATACTAGGACCATATTTTGCTCGCACATACAAACTGACTGATCATCATTTTGTGTCTGAATAGGAATTTCCCCCCAGGTCTGACTGGCAGTTAGTCAGAGGGATCTGACCTGCAAGAATCTGCTTGCGACACATAATGGTTTATATGTATGGGCAGATATGACAGGGAGCTGGAGCACTGAATATTCTGTCTCATAGAAACAGAATTGGAAAAAAAGTATTTTAATTCTCTCATACTTTATGTTGCTACACAACTGCAAAGGCTACAATTGTGGAAGTAAGATGTGGCTCTTCTGGTTCCCTTCTGACAGCTAACATCTGGATAGCAGATCCATGATGCAGACAGTGAGAGATGATCTCCCATATCTCTGTGGGGAAGCCCTATTTGCCCAGCATTAGTTGCCACACAACCATTTTTGTTCATCTGGAACAAGAAGTGCCAATGAAACTGCAGTGGGGTGGGGATTCCCATAACTCTCTAGTTATGGAGGTTCTCCCTTCCAAACAGCAAGGAGGGATATGCTCAGCCCCCCTCAACAAGGAGGGCCATAAATTAGATATATTAGGCCATAAAGTCTATACCTCCGGAGTCTTAGGCCTCCTTGCGGAATCCCTTAGACGCAACAGCCTTTGAAAGGCATAGCATGTACACTATGCATAGCACCCACACAAGGCCAAGTTTACATAAATGAATGTGTCCCAATGAAATCAGCATCTTGTGTTCAATTGTACCAGCATAAATTACAAGCACTGTGAAACTCAGCAATTCAATGAAGAAACAACTCTGCTGGCTCTGCTAGCTTCTGCACTGAAGTAATGAAAGGGAGCTTACATGCTGGACATTCTCCTGAAGAAGGTCCCCCAGAATCTCCACCAAATCAGAGAATGTTGGCCTCTCCTTGGGATCACCATGCCAGCAGCTTAGCATTATACGGTAACTGTACAGAAAAACAAAAAATGCTATTTCACAGCATTTTTATGGTTTGGGTGGACATGCTCGCCTTGTACCTATTATGTATACTCTTTCTATTATGTATATGTTTTTACTGTTTTGAATAAATATGTATTTTAATATTTATTTATCGGATTTATATCCCGCCCTCCCAGCCAAGGCTGGCTCAGGGCGGCTTACACAGAAAGACTAAAACACATCAATACCAATTTAAACAATCCTAAAATCATCTTAAAACATTCCAAATTATAAAGGTGCTATGAACATTAGATAACACTGGTAATAATCATGTTATTAAACCCTCAAACAACAACAAAACAATTTAAGCTTTTGCTTAACACTAAAATCAGCATCTTCATCCTATTGCTATTGATCAAATACAGAGCTGCTAATAAAACAAGCAGAAACCCCACTATTAAGGTGAATATTGTACTTGGGCACATGAAGTGTTACAGAAACATGTGAAAGCATTTGGGCTATCTTAACATGATCTTCAGAAATCTGGGGGCTTCTTGTGGATCTATATTTTTCCAGCTGGCTGTGTTCTCAACTTTGACTCACATATCTGCAGTTGCATATTCTGGGGCTCTCATCCTGGTGCCATCTTTCAGTCTCTGGCAAAATTCCTCATTGATTTGGACTCCAGGGTATGGGGAGGCACCTGAAAAGGATAACCCACAGATTGTCAGGCAATGGCATGATATGGTGCGGGGGCAGAAGAGAAGAAAGCATGGCTACGTGGGGAATAATGCCTTGATCTACAGTGCGAGAGCTCATGGAGACATTTTCTTAATATTTTTGAGACTGAATGAAGCAGCCCATTGGGAAAGGATCAATATCACAAGGACCGAAGTTCAAGGTGGCATTCAGTAGTTATGCACCATCAGTTCAGGCCTTTGTCTGTAAAACTGGTGGCATATACAATCAGAAAAGGCTATTTTTCTGTAGGATTTTTATTCCAAAGGTTAAAAACAAGAAGATGAGATCATCTCACCCATGTAAGAAAAGGCTATTTTTCTGTAGGATTTTTTTTTTAAATATTTTTTAATTATTTTTTATAATTCAAAACAATACAACACAACACATTAACAACTTACAAATAGCTATGCTATATATAAAAAAAATACAACAAAATACAACTTGAATAACTGTAATGCAACAAGTAGTTATAAATGCCCTTTAGCCTCTGGTATTAATAGAAGGCAAAGTCCAGATAGGCTTCTGGAAGTCGATATAGGCTGTTTGAAGTCTTTGTAACATAGTTGAAGAAGGAAAACCATCTCAGCATAAATTTATTTTCCACTATGTTGTTATATATTGAAAGAATGCGGTCTGCTATTTTGTCTGCAACTGCAAGATCCCAGCATTTTGATACCCATTGATTTATAGTAGGAATTTTATTTTGGTTCCACCTTTGGGCCAATAGCGTTTTAGCCGCTGTACATAAAATAGAAATTAGCTCTCTTTTTTCTATAGAAAGTGTTGGAAGCGACCAGTTACCTAATAGAAAGGTTTCAGGCGTAAATGGTAATTCTAATTCAATAATTTTTTGAAGTTCTGTGTGAATTTGGCGCCAGAATTTATTAACTTTTTGACATTCCCACCAACAGTGTATGTACGAGCCTTTCTTGCCGCATTCCTTCCAACATAGTGGAGTAAGTTTGTGCTTATAGTAAAAAAGTTTCACAGGCGTCAAGTACCATCTGGAATACAGCTTATACAATTGAAGTTTTAAAGTTAAATGCGCGGTTTTCATTTGAAACGAATTCCAGATTTTATACCAATTTTTTTCGCCTATAGGATGTGCTAAGTCTTTTTCCCATGCTGTTTGAATAGTCGTTCTTTTCTTCCATGTTCCTTCATTTAGGCTTATGTAAATGATTGAAATAGCCCCTCTAGTGTGTGCACTAGTTTTCATGATAAGCTTCTCAAATTTTGTTAGAGGGCGTAAAAGTTCAGTAGAGCGGGATATGTTGTTGTACATATGTTGTATCTGGCACATTTGCATCCAAGTAGGTTGTATCTTATATTTTGTTTGGAGTTGTTGTTGGGTTAATAATTTACCCTTAATAATGATGTCTTTTAGTCTGTATACATTGTTCTCTCTAAATGTCGCATAATCAGGATTGCGTCTTCCCGGGGGAAACCAATGCTGACCTAAAAAAGCTGCGAGTGGAGAGATTCCTGGTGAAAGGGTTGCTCTATATTTGTCCCACAGTTTTAGCGTTAGTCTTACAAATTTGTTGGGAACTTTCTTCCATTGCCTATCGTTAGAGATATTCCAAATGGCTTCCGCCATTCTATCTTGCTTCAGTGTACTACCTTCAAGTTGTGCCCAAGTTTTTTCGCAATTAGCGTCGGCATAAAAAAGCAATGCCTTTAGCTGGGCAGCCTCATAGTATTTCATTAATGAAGGTACAGCCAGCCCCCCATACATCTTTGATTTATTTAATATATACTTGCTAACTCTAGCTTTTTTTTTGTTCCATAAAAATTTGGTTAGTTTATTATCCCAGTCTTTAAAAACCTTTGAGGGGATTTCAATGGGTAGGTTCTGGAAAAGGAACAAAAATTTGGGTAATACTATAGATTTAAAGATGTCCACTTTTTCTAGTAACGACAAATTAAGTTTTGACCATTCTTCCAGTAATATTGACATTTTAGAGCTCAGCGGTTTAAAATTATAGTTAAAGAGGTCATCTAGATTAAGTGGAATATTGATGCCCAGGTGTTTCCAGCTTGAAGTTACCTGTTGAAAAGAATAAGAACGGATTATGTCTGCTAGTTCAGCTTGGGGTAGTGCTATGGGGTAAAAAGATGATTTTGAATAATTTATAGAAAATCCAGATACCTTTCCAAAATTTTGAATGTGAGTGAGTAGCGGTTGAAATGAAGATATGGGGTCTTGAATGTAAAATACCGCATCATCTGCAAAAAAACTTGTTTTGCAGCAGTTAGAAAATATGTTAATCCCTTTTATCAAGGGGTCTTCACGTATCGCATAGGCAAGAGGTTCTAAGGACAAGGCGAACAATATTGGAGAAAGCGGGCAACCCTGTCTGGTGCCCCTTTGCAGAAAAATGTCCTGTGAGTCTAAATGATTGATTGAGAATATTGTCTTAGGTTTATTATAAATTGCACTTAATGTTTGGAGAAAAGTTGGTCCAAAATTCATATACTTTAAAACTTCTAGCAAAAAATTTGGCTCCACCCTGTCGAAAGCCTTCTCGGCGTCGACAGAGAATATGGCTGATTTTATAGAATTTTGTTGACAATAGTTAATGACATTCAAGGTTTTTCTGATGTTATCAGTGATTGTGCGGCCCGGCATAAAGCCCGCCTGATCCTTGTGTATATATTTCAATATAATTGCGTTGAGTCTAGCCGCCAATATAGAAGATAAAATTTTAAAATCAGAATTCAAAAGTGAAATCGGCCTATAAGATGCCGGAAGCGTTCTATCCTTATCCGGTTTTGGGAGAACAATTACTTTTGCTTCCGTCCACGTAGGAGGAATTTGTCCTGATGTTAACACATGGTTCAGAATTTTTAAAAGATGATCCTTAGTTTGGGCTTGAAAAATTTTGTAGTACTCAATAGGAAAGCCGTCCCTGCCTGGAGCTTTATTATTTTTCATCGCTTTTATGACCTTTAACATTTCTTTTTCCGTTATAGGTTGTTCTAAGAATTCCCTATGTTCTTGTGACAATTTATTGTTATAGTTTATAGAGTTTAAATAATCTTGTATGTCTGATAGGTTTGGATTGGAAGACGTATACAGTTTCGCATAAAAATCAGCAAAAACTGATGTTATTTCTTTAGGGAGATTACGTAATTGGTGGTGACCATCTCTTATATTATAAATTGTGGAAGAAGCAATTTGTTGCGAAACTCTATGTTTTAAAATCTTTATTGATTTGGGTGTTCTTGTGATGTATTTTTGTTTCAGAAATAGAAAATGCTTTTGTAGGTGTGTTGTTTCAAGAAGATCTAGTTTTTTTCTTTCCTGTTGCAGCTTACGATAAGTCTTTTCCCCCCATGCTTTTTATGCTTAATTTCAAGTCTTTGAATTTCATTCATAATCTCATCTACCACTTTCTGTTTGTGTTTTTTATAGGAGGAGGCAAGAGAAATTATATGGCCTCGCATAGTTGCTTTGAATGCTTCCCAAATGGAGACTGGTGATGCTGAACAAGTTGCATTAAAGTCAAAATACTCTGTGATCTTGTTTTTGATGGCTTCCTTTACACCCTCATTGTGCAATAAAAAAGTGTTTAATTTCCAGTGAAAGCTATTCTCTGTCGTTTGTTGTGTATCTAGAATACCTGAGACCCAAGAATGGTCAGACAGGACGGTGGGGCCTATATCCGATTCAGTCATGTTAGCAATTAGTGTTGAAGAGGCTAAAAGGAAATCTATACGAGTATAAATTTGATGCGGTGCTGAATAGAAAGTATACTGCCTGTCCCCTGGATTTAAACTCCTCCAGACGTCAATTAATCCAAAGGAATCAAGTATCCCCTGTAGTTTAGTCTTTTTATCCGGGTGTTTTTGCTGTGTCAATGTATTATAGGTTCTGTCAATTTTGGGGTCAACAATATAATTTAAGTCAGCACCAATGATTAACTCTCCCATTTTAAAATCCATCAATTTCTTCAAGGTGTTTGCTATGAAATCAATTTGATCAGAATTCGGAGTATAAATAGATGCGATAGTTAGAGGTTTCCCATACAATTCGCCTTGTACAAACACATATCTCCCCCTAGGGTCGATAACGGTTTTCTTACACTGAAAAGGTAAATTGCTAGAGATCAAAATGGCTGTTCCCCTTGCTTTGGAGCTACCTGGAGCCTGAAAGTGTTGAGAGAACCATTTTGTTCTTGATTGACAGAAGTTTTTAAGTGGGTTTCTTGAAGGCATAAAATATTTACTTTTTGTTTTGTCCATAAATTTGACGCCCTTTTTATTTTGTCATTGAGGCCTCTGGCATTCCAAGTGGAAATGCGTATATGTTGCATGAAACTAATACTAACTTTTAACAATTAAACTACAACTCGCTAAAACGACCCCTCTATAAGAGGAGTAGTGTTCAATCTAGCTGGCCTATAAATGGGCCAGACAGTAGGAGCACGACTCTCTGTCGCTCCTAATTGAAACACTTTAAATGCTTATAAGAAATAAGAAAGTAAATTTTTAACGCTTTGTTGGGGGGGGGGAAACGTTAGGATCAATCCCATCTCCCTCCCACCTTAGGTGTTTTAAGTTTGGAGTAACTCCTTCCATAGAGAATATATTAGAAAACTTCTAAAAACATCTTGTTTACTTCAATGTTGCTACAAACAGGTTGAACAAATGTTAAAACTGTATAACAAAAGAAAGGTGTAGATAATGTATCAATATTAATGTACGTTTCACCAAAAATAGTTTGTTGACCCTAGTACTATAGTTTCTTGTACTTAAATATGCATGACGTAATTCCATCATGGCTTAGAAAGTAATTAATACAAGTAAGTCATTACAAAATGGCAGTGGTGAGGTTTGACTTATAGTTCAAGTTGAAGTAATCATTAGCTTAAAAGTTGTAACCCACACAAATACATTTATACAAGTTTGCTTTATAACTGAGATAGTGGTTCTTGTCACCTTGAATCAACTAAGCCCTCTTTAAAGTATTTTGGTTAATTTCACCTTATCAGTTAACAAAGAAATAATTACAGTTTATAAATGGTTATATCTTTAATTTGAAGGTGAATGTCTTTGCTTTAATATAAATAAAATCTTTCAACTACTTCTGATTACATCCTCCTAATATTAAATAAGTACGGTCGTGGTCACCTTGTGATTAAAGAAGAGGTTGTCTTCACCTCCAAAAAACAGATAGACCATTACCATGCAGTCCCATTTAGTTTAACCATAATGCAAATCATTTTTTAAATGAAGTATAATAAACAAGGAAAAAATGGGTTAACTACACCCTATAATATCTTAGACTAAAACATTCGTTTGCCAGTATAAAAAAATAATGAAATGGGTTTACCGCACCCTTAAAAATAATATGCTGCAACAGTATTAAACAGAGACTGATAGAGGTTAACCGCACACTTGAATACCCTATGCAATATCGTTCGTTTACCCGTAAAAATAAAAGAAAAATGGGTTAACAACACCCTTCCTGAGATACCTTATACCATAACACTCGTATATCAATATAAATAAAAAAGAAATGGGTTAACCGCACCCTTAAATATACTATGCTGCAACCATTTTAAACAAAGAAAGAACAGGGTTAACCGCACCCATAAAAACTCAATACAATAACATTCTTCTACCCGTATAAACAAAATAGAAATGGGTTAACATCATCCTTGGGCATAGTGTGCTGCAACAATTGTTAAACGTCCTAAAAAAGGACTTATAAAAGAAAATGATCGCCACGTTTTTCAAATGAGAACTGAAGGCAGTAGAGTTCCGGGGGGAATGTAACCTCCCTCCCCGGTCCATCGCTGAGCTGAAGAGTTCCAGTGGACCGGCTAGCAAAACAGCATGCTATCATGGCCGTTGA